GACACTGGCCACGAGGAGCTTGTAAAGCTTGTGCTGAAAACTGGAACTGGCGTCTTCTGCTCGATGCAGGACCCCAGAGATGGGTGCTCGCATAATTCATGGAAGCGCTTGTTCCTTCTCTTTTTTTTGGGGGGGGGTCCTTGGTACCGCATAAAATTAGTGTATACAAAGAAGAAACCCAAAAAGTCCTGGCCTTGCCGTGGGTCTTGTCGTGCATGGAAGAATAAGTGGTGCAAGAGGTCCTACATCCAGCACCGTGGATTCTTGTGGATCCTAGGTGCATCAAGACCCCCTTTGACTTGGCGTCTGCAAGCGGCCATGTAGGGATCGTACGGATTCTGCTGGCGACCTGGCTGGTTGGGGTTCTAGGGCTTCAGGGGTTGAGGGTTGTCGGGCTTCGGGGTGGTGGGATACGTAGAAAGGTCTATTCTATGGTGGGTACGGCCTACATGCGGGATAGAATGCAGGCCCCCAACCCCCCAAGGCCCTAAATGCTAGACCGATTAAGCCCCTAAACCTCCCAAACCCTGATACCCCCTAAACTCCAGATGCTAAACCCTGCAACCCCCTAAGACCCTCATAGCTAGAACGCCAGGAAGCACTTCTGGCAAGCGAACCTTCAATCTCCTTTGCTTATGGGAGCCTGTCTGCCGCTGCTGGCAATGGCCATGTGGAAGTTCCTGGACAACCACAGGGTTTAGATGGCTTATGCAGTGCTTATGTAACAGTAAGGGAAGAGATTGGTTATGGAGACCGCACTTTAGGGAGAAGTGTTCAAGGATTGGAGATCAACGTTGGAAGTTTTTAGAGGTTTTGTTGTTTAGGTTTGGGGTGTTGGGGCTAGGGTTTTGTAATCCTTTACGGTTTAAGGCACACCCAACACTCCAACACCCAACAAAACCCCAATTCCCTCTAGTATAATCTACACCAAATCCCATTCCAATCGTGCTCGGCGCCCGTATACCAATCACTCTAAACCCTATACAAACGCAGCTTCCATTGCATTTTCTTTTTTCTTTTCCATTTGAGTTCTCCACCATTCTGAGTATGTAGACGAAACCTGAAAGCTAAGTCCTAAACCCTATACCCTTTGAATCCTACTGACTGTTTAGGCTCCCTGAAATTACCCCACGTGCCAAGGTCGTCTACCTTCTGCTCCATGCCGATCGAACCTTCGCGCTTGACTACGCGAAAGCCGTTTGGGCAGCCTCCAGCAGCTTTCTGCTGTTCAAGGTTAGAGTTCAGGGTTGAGGGTTCAGAGTTTAGGGTTTGGGGTTGGGGTTCAGGGTTTTGTGTGTGTGTGTTTTTTTGAAGTTTTCTGGAGTTTGGTGGACATCTAGGCTTAAGTTGGGCTGAAGGTTTCTAGGGCGGAAAGGTTTGGGCTTAGGTGATGTTTAGGAAGTAGGACGTAATGAGTCGGCGTCTTAGGGCTTGAAAGGTTGCAGGGTCAAGCGATGCAGGAGTTATGATCTAGGAATCTAGGGTTGGGTGCTCATGTAGATGGGATGAGGATTGGGTAGTGGGTTGAAGGATTAACAGGGGTTATGGATAAGAGGTTTTGGGTTAGGTGTATACCATAGCGTCTGGAGTCCCAGAACACAGAATCTCGTTATGAACTATGGGTGAAGGGAGGAGAGGGTTCAGGGTTGAGGATTGCGCGCACTCAGGGTTTGGGGTCCGCTCATGATGCAGGGGTGATCTGAGCGATTGGCAGCTGTTGGCGGGCTATAGCCGGCTATATACTAGTGGTAAGGCAGGTTAGGGAATTCCTATACCGCTTCTGTACTATCCCGTCATATTCCTATAGCCTCGACTAGTAACTAGTACCTGCGAACTGAGCACCAGCAAGGCAGGGGCCATGCAGAAGTTGTTGACGTCTTGCTGAAGGCCGGCGCCAGTACTCTCAATTCCCGGGACAGGGCGCTGTTTAAAGCAGCCGGTGCGGGACATGTGGAAGTTGTAGATCTGCTCCTTGAAGCCCGTGTAAGAGACCACGCCCGCACCTTGGCATTTGTGAGAGCAGCTCAGAAACTGGGTCAACATTTGGGTCGCATTTTCTAGGGGTATGGACTTCATTCGTACCACTGCAAGAATCCTCTTGTCTTTTTCGGGTCATTTTGTGGACTGAGGAAGGGCCACGCAACAGTTGTAAGCCACATGCTTCTAGCCGGCGTCGAGGATTCTGCTCTTCCAAAGGCATTCGCAACAGCATCCATGTTCCTGGGCAATTGTTGGAAATCATACGGGTTCGAAGGAACCCGATCAACGCATACGACGGACTTTAGCGCACAGCCATTTATAGCTTTCAGGAAGACTACGAGTCCATGTCATGTTGGCTATCAAAGATCATAGTTTATGGCGCCCCGCCAACCCTAAACCTCAACAGCAACACACCAGGTTCGGGCACCTCGACGTTGTACGGCTCCTGCTTCGTGCCGGTACAGGAATTCCTTGGCAAACTTGAGGGAAACATCCCGAATCCTGATCCCTAAGCTCTGAACCCAAAACCCTAAAGCCCTAAAGCCTAAACAGGAGAAGCTCTGAGCAAGGAAGCCGAACCTGGGGCAGAGTTGGGCATGGGGTCATGTAGTCTCGAGGCTTGAGGGATGTGTTTGGGGCTCAGCGCGTTGGGTTTAGGGTTTGGGAATGAGATCTTGGGATCGTGCTTCAGAGCTAGGGGATGCCATTTACTGATCAGGGTCAAGGCTTTGGGTTAGGGTGTTTCAGCGAAGTAGGTCCGTAAGTTTGTTGCTGTGTATACCCCGAGCCCTCCAGGCCCGACGAAACGCTTTCATAAGCTAGCTTTTGCATTTAGGAGCTTCTCAACATCCTTGCAGCCCTCAAGGGATGCTCCTGCAGATCAATTGAAATCTCCAAGCCCCCTAGATTCTGTTAGGATAAGCCCCTAAGCCTTCATCCCCAAACCCTAAACCTCAAACCATGATACCGTAACCTCTAGACCCCAAACTTGAATCCCTAAACCCGAAGCCACCCCGCTCAAAAAACCTAAGCCCTTAAGCCATCTTAAGCCCCTAAGCCACTAAACCCGAAACCCATACCGCACCCCTAAACCCTACGCCCCACACCCGAACGCCTAAATCTTTAGCCCTAAAAATCCATGTATACTTGAAGCCCGCATAGAGCATAAGCCACCCTCTATGACCCTGAAAGCCGTACAAAACTACGACGTTAAACCTTTAGTCCTACCCTTCCTGAACCCCACATTGAATTGAGGCCCACAATTCCTAAGTGATCCCAAAATCTGAAATCCCTCCTAAATCCTGCAACCTCATACATGCCTATATGACCAATCTAGAACCCTCATGTATCCCTATCTACATATATATATATACACGCATATATGTATATATATATATATATAGATATACATATAGATATAGGCTTACATGAGGATCCCAAGCCAGCTCAGGAAGCTCAGCTACGGGCCACGCGCACCAAAACGCGAGCTGCTGAGGGCAGGTTCGCCAAGGGGTTGCGGCTGGGTCCATGTTAGGGATCTTGTTCAAAGGAGTTACAGGGGAGATAAAAGGAAATAAACATTTTGTCTTGTCCAGGTTGCAATAGGTAAAGTGTAAGATTTTCGGTTCAGGGTTTGGGGTTGGGGTGTAGGGGTTAGGAATCCTGTTGAAATGGGTTTTAGGATTTAGCAATTTCTGGACTCTGTGCTTTCTGCTGAGTGTAAAGTTGCTCCTTCTAAAAATTGCGGACTAAGGAGGCGACGTAGAACCCGCACGCTTCGTCGGGCCGGCTGAAAAAGACATGAGAGTTCAAGGTTTAGGGGTGAAGTCTTAGGGTGGTTTAGGGTTCAGGACGAAAGTGTCCGGGAGTTGGGTTCAGGCAATTTCTTTCTGGCAGGAGTTCTTCATTGCTTAAAGCGTTCAGGGCTCCTTTCAACCCCTCCTCCTTTTAAGGGGTTATTTAGGGGTTATTATGGAGAATCAAATGGAACAGAAAATGGAAAACGAAATGGAAACTGGGGGTAGTATATAGGGACATAGGGATTATATAGGGGTAATATTGGGGTTATATTGGGATAATAGGCAGTGCAACCTATGGGCATTTCTGAGCATCACGGCCCCGCTTGAAAGAGTCTGCATAGTTCATGTGGAAGGCAACACCGTGTGCTTACTGGAAGCGTAAGCTATTTGAACTCCTCCTTTGGAGGCCCATACGATTGATACGTGGGATGTGCTGGGAGCCAAAACCCTAAACCCCTAAACCTCCTTAAACCCTAAACCCCTAAACCTTAAACCTTAAACCCAAAACCCCTAAACCCTAAACCCTTAAACCCTAAGCCCCTAAACCCCGTAGAGTCATCCCCATGAATCCCTAGGATCCCGAAGGGCCCTTTGTGCTGAGAAGCCCTGTATGAGGTAGAGTCTAAAGTCCTTAAAGGGGGATAGGGGCTTATACGGGGGAGTATTATAGAGCTTGTTTAGCGTGATACTAGGATTTTAGACCTAGGGTTATCGAGGAGTTTAGACTACAGCTCATAAGTTTTGGCCGCTGGGCTCCAGAAAAATGACATTCATCCTCCTGGCCCAACTTTCTCGGACAGCGCGGGCAGCCATTTTCAGAAAGTAGGGTAATATAGGGAGCTATATAGCTTTCATGGGGCCTATAAGGTATTATGGGATTTAGGGGATTTAGGGTTTAGGCGGGACTTCTTGGTATAATCCTTTTTGAATTCTGAATGCTCAGTCTATTACAAGGACCCTAGTAGTCCTAACATAATCTTCGTATATGAGAAGGGTCCCTCAGAGTATATACCCCATTTTGAGAACCCCCGACCTAAAACGCCGCCATTTACCAAGACGCTAGCATCAGATCTCGCACCCTGTGTATTTGCAACTGAAATTCTGGTTGAGATGCCTCTCCCGGTCTTGTGGTTCCTACTGTCGTTTTCTTCTTTTCATTGTTAGAGGAAAATTCCGGTATTGCATTGTACCAGCAGCAAACCACGCTCACCACAAGGAGACATGTCATTGGCGTCCACAATGCCCGACATTTCAGTGCCAACCCCGCAGCCATCACCTTCGCGAGGGTCGCTTGGACTTGTGAGTATTGGATTTAGGATCCCAGGGTTTCAGGGTTTGATGGTTGAGGGCTTAGAGCTTTGGGGGGACGGTTCACGGTTGTAGACGCTTAGGGTCGTGCGTTGTTTTTGGTATAATGCGCGAGGGGGTGAGAAAAGTAAGGCATGGTAAGGCTTTTTGGATGTGCTAAAGGAACAATTTGAGCGCCGGAACATTGAGCAGCCCAGCATGGAGTCCGTTACTTTTCCCCTCAGAACGGAGTCCTTCGCCTTCTTGTTTCGAAAATACAGCCCCCATACATGACTAAAACATAATCCAGGAGAAATCCATAGGGGGTAAGCAGAGGCAGAAGGACGGAAATGCCCAGCACAGAATTCGTAGAACCATTTAGCAGTTGGCGGAACCACCCTGCCATTCGCAGAACCACCGCTCTCTTCTTCAGCTTTCCAGCAAACTCCACCATCCCGGGAGGGTTCATAGAATTTGTTTTGGGTCGTCGATTTCGAGCCTTGAACCCTGAACCCTAAACTGCAAGCCCAGAATCCTGTGGGGCTCCAGGTTGTCGTCCACAATGCCCGACATGTCACTTCCAACCCCGCCGCCATCACCTGCGCGAGGGTTGCTTGGACTTGTGGGTATTGGATTTAGGATCCGAGGGTTTCAGGGTGTGATGGTTGAGGGCTTAGAGCTTTGGGGGGACGGTTCACGGTTGTAGACGCTTAGGGTCGTACCTTTTTTTGGTATAATGCGTGGGGGGTGATAAAGGCAAGGCCTTTTGGATGCGTGAAAAGGAACTGTTTGGGCGCCAGAGCATTGAGCAGCAGAGCATGGAGTCCGTTACTTTTCCCCTCAGAACGAAATCCTTCACCTTTCTGTTCAGAAATACACCCGTACATTCCTATTATAAGAGATGGGTGATCTTCACTATTTCCAGAGTGGAATTCTTAATTCTAGCGGGTTAGCCCCAATGTCACCCAGGGAGCTTGACTGAGTAGAGGACTCATAGCTTGTCAAAGCCAGAGCCTTAATCCGCCAAAAATGGAGAAGCAAGTGGAAAAGAACATGGACAATGAAATGGAACCCGGTGTTATGATTTCACGGGGTACCAGGCAATTTCTCAATAACAGATATTCTCCCCAAGATAGAATGGTACTATACGGGGTTTATTTCTTCACGTGGGGGTGGGGGGCGATATTATTAGCAGGAGGCGATTAAAGTACCCGCAATCCTCTTCATCTCTCCCAACAGTTTCAGGCCCCCCAATTACATTTCATGAAGCTTTACTCTCGCAGTCTCAAATCCTCTCAAGGCCCTCAGCAGAAGCCTAATAAAGCTAGATACCATAAGGGGTCAAGGTACTTGATTGCAGCTCCTGAAACTAAAGTTCTATGTACCACAGAACGCGAGATTGTCGCCATTGTTCTCCATTGTGCTCCCGTCATAGTTAGAGCAAAATTTAGCCCAAAGTCTTATCCTGATATTCAGTCTCTCATTTCCGTACAATCCCCGTGTTACTCCATGTATGACCACAGTTTCAATCTCATATTCCATTGATCCTCCATCCTTCTAGTCAACCCAAGACCCTGAACCCGAAAACCTTGAAACCCAGCGTAAATCCTAAACCTGAAACTCCACAGCCTAACCCCAAGCCTGAACCCTAGACTCCTGAACACCAAACCTACATTACCTAAGTATTTCGGTATTTGGACACACTGGGTTCTGTCAGGGGCCGGCGCCTTTCCACGCCAAACCCAGACCGGCCGGCGTCCACAGCTTAGCGTTTGCGATTTGGGATCTAGGGGTAGGGCATCAGCATTTGGGGTTTAGGGCTTCGGGGATAGGTTTTTGGGGTGTTGGGATGTCACTGTCCCCGGAAATGCATCATTTGGAAAGAGGACCTTTGAGTCTCATTGAGGTCCCATCACGGTACGGGGCCTATATAGGTTCCCCCATTGGAGAAACAGCATTTCTGGCACCCAACTTCTGAAAACTGTCTTGCTTTTCGATTCCATTTTTTTGGTTGTTCTCCTTGCTTTGTGTGGGGACACGAACCCTGCAGGTTAAAAAATAGTAATTGCATCGGGCTTTAAGGTCTATATGCAGTTGCCACTTAGGGCCATTTGTATCCTTAGCGCAAGAGTTTGATAGGCGCCCAAGTTACTTCTTCCACCAAGGCCCACTCGCATTCTGGATAAAGTGGGCAATTCATCAGTAGCGTGCTTTTAAAGCCTGAGTTGATTTGTTTGCACACCACCACTGAAGACTGCCTGCCGGACCAGTCTCTCATCCCTGGAAAGTCCGAGCCATCAGCGGGCAGACCCAAACATTAAATCCGAAGCCTCAGCGGCACGGGAACCCTATCACTGAACCCGCAGAGCAGCCTACAAATCCCAGCCTTAAGCCACAGAATCTCTGGAATCACTCAACCCCATGAGCCTTAACCCCTAATCCCAAAACCTGAACCCTCAAAGTCCACACCCCAAACCTTATCACTCTAAACCCTAGCCCCTCAAACCTTCAAAGCCCAACATTCACAGACTACGGAGTAGACCTCCTACACTCACTCTCAGTAGATCCCCTCAGCCCTCCCCAGACCTGCTCCCCGTTAGGGTTTAGGGTTAGTAGGGCATGCAGGAAAGGATCCCTATAGTAGCCCTGTGCACTCTTTAAAAGTGCAGTAGTTTCTATTTTCCTGTCCTTGCCCTAAACCCTACACACAACAGTAGTTTCCATTCTGCTTGTCCATTTGCCTCCACTAGTGGAAAATATTACTCAACACTTTCTTATCCTTCTTTTTGCCTGTATATCCGGTTACATCCCTCTTCGGCCATGGCGGAGCTTCAGCCGAGCCCAGGGCGCTCCTGGGACGAGGCATGCGTGTGTGTGTGTGTGTTTTTTTTTTTTTTTTTTTTTTTTTTTTTTTGTTTTTTTTTTTTTTTTTTTTTTTTTTTTTTTTTTTTTTTTTTTTTTTTTTTTTTTTTATTTTTTTTTTTTTTTTTTTTTTTTTTTTTTTTTTTTTTTTTTTTTTTT